CTTTGCATGGGACTGAGATGTATGCTTGTTCCTGCCTCTCCTCCTCCTTTCTGGGACATCAGGTGCTCCTGACTTCTCTTCCTGCACCTGGTCTGTTTTTTGAACCATGGATTGATTCTTCCAACATGAACTTCTTGAACAAGCCCAGGAGCAGCTAGATAAAGAGTGACTGGGGACTAACCATCTTTTCCAGCCCTGTGGTTGCCCTCTAGTGGACATTTGGGGAAACGTTAATGCATTTGTTCCCACACATTTCCAAGAAATCCTTCCTCCTTCAAGTTTGTTACCCATTTTACAATCTTGGTCTTTCCAAGTCACACCTCCCAGGGTGGTGTGTTGATCTCCCAATGCCTTGCAACTTATTCCAAGCCATCACTGTTGGTAACTTGGATGTTTTCCATGCTGGGCCCTGCCTGCCATGCTGTAGATTACCAGTGTCCCCTATCAACTGCATAGTGATACTACCTGGCCCCTCCTCTCAAGTATGTATTAGTAACCTAATCCCATGAGGATCTGGTCCAAAATACTGTACCTGTCAAGGTATCAGCAGTAGTCAAATGGCACATCCAGTAGGAAATCCAAGGATAATCCAATAGAATGACTTCTTTTTTTGTCAGTTGTGGGGCTTGAACTCAGGGCCTGGCCACTGTCCCAAATCTCTTGCTCAGGGTAGTGATTTACCACTTTGAGTTACAGTGCCACTTCTGGTTTTATGGTGGTTAACTGGAGATAAGACTCACCAAGGACTTTCCTACCAGGGCTGGCTTTTACACAATTCTCAGATCTCAGCCTCCTGAGTAGCTAGGTTTACATGTGTGAGCCACCAGCACCTAGCAAATGGAATGACTTTTTTTACAATTATATGAGCAAAGTTAGAAAAGAGAAAAAAGATCCTAAGGTACTTTGGGAAAAGCAAAATGTTACCCTCTCAGTAACTGTGGTCTCTGATAAGGAATCTGATAGTCTCCACTGGAGACAGCTGAGGGATGCATACTCTTACTCTCCCCCCAAGGATTTTTGCGGGGGGGGGGCAGTCCTGGAGTTTAACTCAGCCCTGACGTCTACCCCCTAGCCCCATTCCTTTCCCACCAGTATCCCAAATTCTCTCCATATGGAACTACCACTTATGAGGTCTCCTACCATTCTCCTCATGGCACTCTGATAATTACCAACTCATTTTCATTCTCCAATAACGAGCTCCACAAAGGACCCATTCTATCCTTGCCATTTAGCAGTGATTGGCAACAAATGCTCAATGCCCAACATGTTCAATGGGTGAACGAATACTTGATTATAGTATATCCATCTACCTTGGTTACAATAGCGCAATCAGTACATGTACGACAATGTGTAAATTACCTAGGGCTACAGAATCTTTCTCCATTATATTTGTAGTATCTGGCTGTTCCATTCCTTGAGAGTAGGAACTTTGTTCAATTTCTATTGTCCCAGAATTTAACATTTGGCATATAATGTTTCCAACAAACTTGTGTTGACCATACTGATTTTAAAAAGAAAAAAAAAACAACCACCACCAGCTGGGTGCTGGCTTCCATCTGTAATCCCAGCTACTCAGGAGGCTGAGATCTGAGGATTACTGTTCGAAGCCAGCCTGGGCAGAAAAAGTTCCCATGAGGTGCTTATCTATAATTAACCACTCAAAAATCTGGAAGCCCCACAACTGACAAAAAAAAATCCAGAAGCTTAGATAATTAAACTGCCCTGGAACATACATAACTACCAGCTCCAGAACCAAGACTGGAACCGAGTCTGGCAAAAGGGAATGGGATGGTTTCAATGAAGTTCTAGCATAGGAAGAGAAGCCCTGTCTTCTCTGGGCTGGAGTTCTCCAGACCTCACTGGCTAAGCATCCACATAGTCGACATGACTGACCCAGGCAAGGAAGCTCAGCTGGCATGGGCAACTGAACCCTGGATTCTCTGGTCCTTTCAGTTTGAACAGAAGCTTCTGGCACTTGTTGCATCATGTCTCCCACCCCTTCCTGATTGTCTCTTCACATGGTGCTTTTCCTCACATTACTTTCCTATCAAGTCCGAGTCACAGACAGCGCCTGGAAGTTCATCTGATGGGACTACCTCTTGTCCTGTCTCTAGCTCCCCATGCCCATCCAGCCCCTGCTCTCTCCATCCTCAGCCTCAGCCCCTCCCATGTCCTCCCCTGGCAAAACAACAGCAGAAGATAATAGACAAGTGAGAAGCAGCTGAGGAGGAAGCAGGAGAACCAACAATCCTGCTTTTCCTTTCTTCCCTTGAAGACATGAACCTAATGTCCATGCCTGCAACAGAGAAATCGCTGCGCACCTCTGAACATCATGAACTCTCAAGGGAAGCTCAGCTGGCCTTCATCTGTGAGGCTAGAGTCCCAATGCAACTCAACTTTCTCCAACCAGACCTTTTTTTCTAGCACATTCTGAGTAACCTTCAAGCACATTCACAGGCTAGCAGTATTTAAACTTTCCACTGGAGTGTAAATTCCAGTACTTAAGTCCTCACCGGCACTAACAGGAGCAGGAAGGTGCACGAAGGAATGGCTCAAATACCTCAGCCTGTCTTTAATGTAGTTTCCTTTGTTCCTTGGTTGACAAGGCATTAGAGAAACTTCCCAGTGATACAGGTAAAGTGAAAAAGGAATCTAGTAGTCCTCCCTCTCCATCTTGCCTCTCCTTCCCAACAGTCAACCTGTCAAGCTATGCTTTTTGCTACCAGCCAACCTAGACAATGCCGTGACAGTCAATACTACAAAGTCCATTTTCCTCTTTCTCCAGGAATTCAACCTAAATGTCTGGCTTGGGTTACTTCACTAGGAGATCTTTGCTGAAATACAGATGCGCCTCTAAGATGGTGCTACCTGCCAACTTCTGGCTCAGATTCTACAGTGGGCCATCTTTGCTCTATTTCCAGACCAGACTAAATAGGTCATAGGAAGTTGGTTCTGTGCTGTCCACTAGCTCCAAGACCTGTAAATAATGAAACTTAACAGAGCCCTTAAAGGGCTGTTCTGTGCAAATCATAAATGTTCACACAAGTTGTGTGCTAGCTATTAAATCTCTACTCATGCACATTTAATATTCTTACAAGCAGGTGGGTCTTAACTAAAAATTTATATAAATAAGAAGTCCTAGAATTATATTGTATGAGACTCTGGACATAGAAAACATTATACCTCACCTTGGGTGCCCTATGGGGTCTTGACTATAAGCTTTGGCCAAGCCTTGCTTGTGCATCTTTACACATTCAGTGTTTATCACCTTCTAGGCACATAGTAAGACTCTCAATGAATATTCATTGAACTTGAAAATTTCCTACAGAAACTTCATTTGAGCCAGGTGCTGGTGGCTCACGCCTGTAATCCTAGCTATTCAGGAGGCTGAGATCTGAGGATCTCGATTCAAAGCCAGCCTGGACAGGAAAGTCCTGGAGATTCTTATCTCCATTAAACCACTTAAAAACGGGAAGTGGTGCTGTGGCTTAAGCAGTAGAGTGCTCGCCTTGAGCTGAAGAGCACAGGGACAGCCCCCAAGCCCAGAGTTCAAGCCCCACAACCGACCCCCCCCCCATAAAACCAAAAAACTTCATTTGGACACCTCAGCTCTGAAGACTCCTTCCAGAAGATCCTGGTATATCCCAGGTGTGCCAGCAGGGGGCACAAAGGGCTACTACTCAAATCAGAGTGGAGGACACAAACTACACAGGAGGTTTGTTTGGATTGAGGCCTCCT